CACATGGACATTCTGACTTGGCCAAATGACCCTGGAAGAAGTACTAAGACTGAACGTAGGGTTTGGGCAGCATAAATAGGAGGACCGTGATGGGCACAGACACTGGTAACGGAGTAGAAGGTGCCCAGGCGGTCACACAAGAGCCAGGGAAGAGAGACAGGCACACACTGCATGTTAAAACACGGATTACTGCATGTGCTGAAGAGATATGCTAACCTACAAAACCTAATCTCTCACCGAAAATGAAACCTCTAGAATCAAAACTCATAGTAAAGAATACAGATATTTTAGACTATGATAATAGAATGGATCAAACCTAATAGGTTAGGTACTTCATGCATGGAAAACCTAACACGTCATTTCTACAAAAGTTATTCGGCCTAACTGATCATTTTACAATCGAGGAAGCGACTCAGAGCAGTGAAGTGACCTGGGGAGGCGCACACTAGGAAGCCCGGGCTGGGGCCTCCCACTCCTGGCTTCCAGCCAGGGCTCACAGGTTCTCCATCTGGCTCCCAGAGTCAGGCTCCATGTGCTACTGGGTCCAGCTCTGGGGAAGCCTTGGTCCGAGACTGAAGACTTCCCACCCAAACAGCGCCGTGGACCAGGCCAGGGCTGAGCCAATGGTCTCTAAAGATTCTAGAACTGGTTTCAAACATTCCGACACTTTCATGTGTTTGGTTTTTTTTTGTACTGGGAATCAAACTCAGGGCCTTACACTCACCAGGCAGGTGCTGTGCCTCTGAGCCACATCTCCAGCCCCTTTCTTTGGTTTGGTTTTTTGAGACAGAGTCTCACTTTTTGTAGTTCAGGCTGGCCTTGAACTCACTAAGGAGCCCAGGCTGAACTTGAACTCACGGTGATCCTCCTGCCTCAGCCTCCTGAGTGCTGGGATGGCAGGTGTGCACCCCCATGCCCGGTTTGCCTTCACACATTGAACTCTGTGTTGCTTGCTGTGCACATACAGCTCACTCATAGATTCACTTTCTTCTTTCTCTGTATCTACTCTACGCCCAGCACCTTCACCCCACTCTGCAAACCGTTCCGTATGTCTGTAGTCTGTTTAATGCATACATTTTACCAGTGCCAACTCACACCAGCCGTAGGAAGCTGGAAATGGGGCACAGGAAGCCGAAGTGGCTGCCTCAAGGTCAGAGAGAGGTCAGCAGTAGAATACAGAGGGGAACCAATGCTGTGCAGTACCAGTATTTACTAGGATACTTTTCCAGGGCTGGGGACGGAACTCAGGACTGCACACATGCCAGGCCAGTGCTCTACCACTGACCTCCACCTCCACCCGGGTGCACACGATCTCCCATGCTGTATCATATGGATTGCTTGGACCCCTGCCCTCATTCTTCTGCCCGCAAGGTGATGCGCATCACATGAAGACTGCTGGGGAGAATTCGGATCCTGTGCGTATAAACCACTCCACCCCGGGACCCGTGTCTAGGAACACTAATGTGACTTTGCAGATAATACCCACTTGAGAGTTAGGTGTCAGAGAACCATGCTGGACACAGGCCTTTAGCGCACTGCTGGCCCTTGGGAGTTCTTGATATGGCCATGAATTGTAAGCCAGAGGAATAAGTAAGGCTAGATAGAGTCTGGAAATGACTCAGGAGTGAGGGCCGTTGGTAGCAATATTGCTGGATCTTGGTTTGGACAATAATAGGTTCAGAAGGCTGGATTTGCTCTGTGTAAATATAAAAATAGCGAGGAACAACATAAGTCTTCACGTACCTGTTCCACAGTGGTAATTTCTGCAGACTTAGACTCTAGCCGTAACATTTACTGTGCAATATAATTAACCCATCTGCTTAAGCCATTAGGCTGCAAAGCCAATGGGACACACGTCTTGAGAATAAAAAAACAAGAATGATTCTCAGTTTCAAGTGAATTTTCAAAAAAAGAGTAAGGCAAAATAACAGAATTTCTCAATTCTCTCCCATCATATAGATTTCTTTGAGGTTTAATAATATTTTTTTTTCCAGTACTGGGATCGAACTCAGGACCTTGTGCTTGCCAGGCAGGCACAGTGCTGCTGAGCTACATCCCCAGCCCAGAAGTTTAATAATATTATAAACAGGCAGGCATGGTGGTGCATGGCCGTGATCCCAGCTCTCGGGAGGCTGAGGCAGGAGATTGCTGAAAGATTGAGGCCAAGGGGCTACATAGTGAGTTCAAGGGCAGCCTGAACTGCATAGTGAGACCCTGTCTCAGTAAATAAATGAATAAATAAACAAACAAACAAAGGAAAAACATTATAAGTAAAGCTTTGAGGTTAAATATTAAAAAGTGAGCAAAATTTAGACATTTTGAAAAAGCAAGGATTTGATTTGGTGTTGCCAGGCTTTTAACGTAAGACAGAAGACAACAAGAATGCATTTGTTCTATCAAGAAAACATAAATAAGGGCCGGGGATTTAGCTCAGTGGTTCCACTGCCTGCCTCGAAAGCACAAGGTCCTGAGTTCGATCCCCGGTACAAAAAAAAAAAAAGAAAACATAAATATTGGCTTTTTTCCCCCTGTATTTTTGAGATAGCGTCTCACTGTGTACCCCAGGCTGGCCATGAACTTTGGCAATCCTCCTGCCTCAGCCTCCAGAGTGCTGGGCTCACAGGTGTGCGTCACCATGCCCGGCTCTAAAATATTGGCCTTCTCTGAGGTCAGCCTGTTGCAGCTGGATCCCAGCTCGGCACTGTTAAAAAGATTCTGAAATTTCCAGAGAAGTAAATATCAATTTCAGCTATGTACATCCACATATAAATGTGTTGTATTTTCTTCTCACCAAGGAGTGGGGAACAAAATATTTTTCTGAAAGCGAATGTGTGCAGGTCACCTGTGACCACAGGATGAATACTTGAACGACTTCCAGGACTCGGCTTGGGCATGTTCAGGGTCTGCACAGCCTGTTGATGCATTTCACTGTTTGGCCAGATAAGGGGGCAGCGCCATAGACTGGGATTCTGATTGCGTTTTCACCTATTCCATCTCACTTTCCTCAGTGCCCTGGATGGCGGTTTTTGCCTTTTCTTGCCCTTTGTCAAGACCCTGACTTCTCAGATTATATTAAAAATCTGTTTTCTCTGTTAAAGCTTAGCATGAGCTAAGTGATTATGACTTTAAGCCCAAATCAATATGTGCAGTCAAGTCTTGAAGGAATTTCAATCACGAAGCCTGTGTTCATATCTTAGATAGCAATGCTCTGCTGTCATTTTCCCTTGGAGCTCACTTTGATATAGGGGGGAAGAGATGCAACTCCCAAACCTACTAGGTATCCGAGATGCAAGCTCGTGTTCTCTAAAATCCAAGAATGAATTCTAGGAACAGCGGAGGTTAAGAGTAGGAAAAATTATTGAGAGAAAGATAGCTTCTGGCTAAGAGAGGCAGAATGCGGACCGGAAAGTGGGTTGCCTGCCCACCCGCTTTTCAAAGATGTTTTATACAGCAGAGCCATGTGGTGAGGTGGGTACAAAGTGGGACAAAACTATAAGACCCAGTGGAAATTTACAAGGTGGGCATGAGGTGGGACAAAACCATGACCAACCAATAAGATCACAAGTACAGTCACCCAGGTAATATTGATTACATGGGGATCAAATGGGAAGACACGTCACACACAAGGAATTTCCCATTTAGAATATCAATCACTGCTGTCTATCTCTAGGGGAAGTGGTGCCTCTTTTCCTTTCTATAATGCTAACCAGAGAATGTGTCTCAATTCTCCATGTTGGCTCCTTGCTGTGTTGGCTCCTGGAGGGCTGGCGCCTTAAGGGAGGCCCTGTCCACCTGCCAACAAGATCTCTAGTTCACTTACCTATCTATAATAGCTTTACATATTCTATTTATAGGAGTTGTTGCCATGGGTACAGTGACCGTTGCCCACGTGGCTCAAATGAAATGGACAGGACACAAATTTTCTGGGCTTTGTAAGGGCCTGCGAGAGGCATTCTACACTAACAATGGCTAAAGCTGGGGACTAGGGATGCTCGTCTCCAACTCTGTGCACATTGGAAGGCCCCGAAGAGCTGTTTAAAACAGAGTCTGTGGGGCCGGGGATTTAGCTCAGTGCTTCTGGCACTTGCTGCGCAAGCGCAAGGTCCCGAGTTCGATCCTTGGTACCAACAAAACAAAACAGTCTGTGGAACAGCTGAGGTCCGGCTGAAGTTTGGGACTTTGATTTCCAATGCCCTCTGGGAAGATGCTAGTGAGGTCGGTCCAAGGAACTTCTGAGGGACAGAGGGGCAGGGTGGAGTGACCAGGGGCAAAGGTTTTGGGGTGGAGTGGAGTGAGTTCAAATCCTGTTTTTCCCATTAAGGGCTTGTTGACTTGGGGATATTTTTCTTGAGCAACTTTCAGGCCTTTATTTCCTCATCTGCTCAATGCAAGTTTTGTAAAGATTGGCGAAAATAAGGTCCAGAAAAAAATAAGGTCTAGAAGGCATAGTGCCAGACACACACTTGGTCTGGTGTGTAGCAGCACAGCCCCAGCTATGAGAAGGGATGTGGCTTTCTTTCCTGGGGTCCAGGTAAACTGCAGGGCTCTGCCTCATATCCTAGGATATCAGTGTGGTCAGGTGTGTGCAGAGCAGGAGAAACCTGACAGTGGGTCAGCTCTGGGTTCGAGTTGCTCCAGTGAGCCCTAAACATGGAAATGTTTTGACCCTTGAGCCCTCCTCCCACAGCAGTTACAACCAAACACCAGGCCAGAGTTTTATTTGATTCCTTTGGATTATTTTTTTCACTTAAATAGCTTTATAGTTCCACAGTTGTGCCTACTTATGAATGATCTTGTTATTATTATGAATGATCTTGCTACCTTCAAAATCAAACTCAAGTCTTTGGTGACTGATATCTTTTCTCCCCATATGATGCCATGAAGGGTGTTCCACCCAAGCAACATTTTTTTTTTTGGTATCAGGGATCGAACTCTGGTCCTTGTGCTTGCGCAGCAGGTGGCGAAACCACTTAGCTAAATCCCTGGCCCAAGCAACATGATATATTTAAATTTGAGATTTTTATTGTCCTGTGAATGCTGAAATTGGTTCTGCATGACACAAAGCAGCCATTCAGCAGGATACAGCTATCGGGTTTACAATGAACACGTCTGGGAAAGAATGACTTTAAATCCCTGATGTTGTGGTTGGTTTTCAATTTGTTAAAAAAAAAAAAAAAAAAAAAAGCATGATCTACCAGTTGCAAAAACCTTAGCCTGATCAGACCAAGTTTTCCTGGAGAAATGATTTTTGCTTTAGTCCAGTGTTAATAAATACATTTGTTTTGCTTTTAACCATTTACTCAGTTGTTCATTAACCTTGAGTCCTATCTTGCTGGTAGGCGTGGGGTAGACAGTAGCAAGACACTTAACTCTGCCCAGCGCTGAGAGCCTAGCGGGAAGCTAATAGCACAGTCGCCAGACCCTTTCCAGGCCAGTAGGCCGCAGCCTTGTAAGTTAGCAGTATGGCGGGGTGTTTATGTTCACACCCAATGATCATGCGCCCCTCGGCTTCTGTGCCAGGCGGGTGTCCCAGAAGAGGGGCCTGCCGCTTCTGGAGGGAGAGCGTCCCATAGCCCTCGGTTAATGTAGAAGCAAACGCAGAGGCGGCGCCCTGGCTCAGCCTCCTAGCCTGCCACCGGCTGTTACAGAAGTTTTCTGGGAAAATGACGAGACTGAAGACAGTAGCCATTTCTGAATCAAACTTCAACTTCTGGGTTTTTCATAAACACGCTAGGATGGACATTCCTATGATGTGCTGAGAAGTAAACACCTGTGGCCCCCTAAAACTCAAGGTGGAAGCCCATCCAGGTCAGGGCATCTCGAGCTGCTGCAGCGGAGGCTCGGGTGTCATCGAGGACCCGAGTGGGGACTGGGCAGCCCTGGCCTCCGAGGGACACGGAGCGGATGCCTCACTCAGAAGGCCGAACACTGCTGTGTTCGCCGTGGCTTCATTTTTCGGCACTTCTGGGTCCTCCATTGCGTCAGTCTCCCCACTCTGTGCCATTTCGCTGTGGCTTCCCATCAGCTGCAGATGCCCCAAGGATGCTGCCAGACAGGGTGCAGACCCAGGGCCAAGGCCTTGAGGGCTCCGTGGCTACCCAGTGGACCAGTCCATGCCACCGTGAACACCAGCTCTGCTGCCCTGAGCCTCCTAGTTACTTCTGATTCATGCTTTTCTGTGCAGAAAACAAAACTGGCTATCAGTTTTTCAGACAGATTAGGAATTCAGTCAAATCATCACTGCGTATTTACAAAGTACAAGAGGCAAGCCCGGTGGCTCCGATGGCTCTAACGTGAGCACGCTGTGTGGCCTGCTCGCTGTTTTTACATTGCACTAGCACACTGTAGGAGCTCAATAAATATTGGTTAAACCTAGCACGACAGGGCACGCCTGTAATGCCAGCCCTTGGGAGGCTGAGGCAGGAGGTTTGCCACGAGTTCGAGGTCCGCCTGGACTAGTGAGTTCAAGGCCAGCCTAAACTACATAGCGAGACCCTGCCTCAAAAAAATCTCACATAAAGAAATAAATATCTTGAATGACAAAATGAGCTTTATCATCTCAGCAGCAATAAGATACTGACACACAATCCAGACCCCCCAAAAAACTTAAATGTAAACTACAGTAGGACTCAGGACAGACATAAAAGAAAGTGTGTTCAAGGATCCAAGCATTATTTCCTGCTGGAGAATCCCAAAGGACTTCGTGGGAGAGGTAGTCGTTTTAACTGGGACTTGAAGGATGGAGTCCTAGTTTACTGAGCAAGAAGTTAGGGAGGAGAGAAGCAAGGATACCAAGGCCAGATGCCAAGCTGGACCGGCAGGGCAGGTCTGGGAGTCCAGTCCAAGGCCTGGTGGTGGGGAGGGGAAGGGGGGGTGGGGGGGGGGGGGAAAGGAGGGGGGGAAGGGGAAGGAGGGGGAGGAGGGGGAGGGGAGGCCAAGGCCTGCAGCTTGTTTTTGCTGAGTGAGGACCCTAGGTGAGTCCGCAGCCCTCAAGCTCTGGTAGGCTTGAGGGGTTCCGGGCTTGCTCTTGATGCAGAAGTGGCTCCCCCGTTAGAAACACAGGCCTTTGCGCTGGGTGTGGTGGTGAGCCTCTGCGATACCAGGGCTCTGGGAGGCTGAGGCAGGAGGATGGCAAGTTTGAGTCCAGCTTTGGCAACTTAGTTAATGTCAGGTAAAAGGCCGAAAACCAAGACCAGACCAGGCCACAACAAGCCTTTATTAGGGGGACAGATCTGCCGGGCTGTCTCTGAACAAAGGAGAGACAAAAGCAACATGGCCAGGGCAGGGAGAGTCTTTTATAGAGACTGGGGTGGGGTTTGTAGGGGCTGAGGCGGGGTTGAGTGAGGCAGTGATTTGGGAATGGAGGAGCCGGTGATGTCACTAGGTGGTAGGAGGTGAGCGAGTATTAGGTTACTCTCTAGGAGGGAACAGGGGCATGCTGGGAAGAAGGGTTTGTTCTTTGGTGGGAGCAACCATCTTGGCATGACGTCACACAGGGGAGGGGGCAAGGCACCATAGGAAGAGGGCAGCTACTATACATAATAGCTGCTGAGGTCATGGGAGACCTATCAGTTAATTTAGCAAGACTCTGTATCAGAAATAGAGAAAAAATAAGACAGGCATGGAGGTGCATGCCTGTAATCCCAGTACTTGAGAGGCTGAGGCAGGAGGATCACCATGAGTTCAAGGCCAGCCTGGGCTACACAGTGCGTTCAAGGACAGCCTGGATAGAATAAAGAGTGAGCTCCCATCTCAAAAATGACCAAATAAATAATTAAAAAATAATTAGGGATGGGGCTGTGGCTCAATGTGAAGACCCTAGGTTCAATCCCTAATAGCACAGAGAGAGAGAGAGAGAGAGAGAGAGAGAGAGAGAGAGAGAGAGAGAGAATGGCAGGCTAAAGTGATTGTTTTCAGGTTAGCAGGGGAGGGGCCGCTACTCCGGATCCCTTAGGGTGGCTGAGCGGGATCTAACACGAATCAAGGGGAAGCAAGAGGGAAAAGTGCATTCTAGAAAAAGGGACTGAATCTGGCCTAATAGGGTACAGCAAAGGCGGAGGGAGCAAGAAGTTGCTGCCGTGCAGCGAGGACGCGGGGAAAGTGAGGCCAGGCTGGCACTGTGCAGCTGCGGGCGCCGTCGGCCGAGGGAAGCCCCTCCCCGCTGAGCTCAGGCTGAGGGCTGCACCGGGAAGGCTGCCAGATCCCACAGAGCCAGGCCCACTGCTCTCCCAGAACACAGGACACAAATATGCAGAGCCCAGAACAGTTTTATCCAAGCCGCTGGCCACTAGCCTCTCGGCTACTGAGCACTTGAAATGTGCCTGGTGCAAATTCCAATTTGCTGCGAGGGTCAGACACACGGGATCCCGAAGGCAGTCTGAGAAAAAGTGTCAAGATGGGCGGAATGGAGGTACACGCCTGTAACCTACACCTCAGGACGCCGAGGCAGGGGGTCACAGGTTCAAGTGCAACTTGGGCAAACTAGCGTCTTGATGAGACCTTGTCTCAAAATAAAAATATTTTTAAGAAGGCTGGGGCTGTAGCTCAGTGTAAAGAACCTGGGTTTGGTCCCCAATACTGGAAAAAGAAAAGTGTCAAATATTAGTTTTTTTAGGTTTTTGGGGGGGTACCGGGGATCGAACTTGGGACTTCCTGCTTGCAAGGCAGGCGGCGGAACCACTGAGCTAAATCTCCCAGCCCTATCAAATACTAGTTTTTGTACTGGTTACATGCTTAAGTACTATTTTTTTTTGGTACTGGGGATCGAACTCAGGTCCTTGCACTTGTGAGGCAGGTGGCAGAACCACTGAGCTAAATCTCCGGCCCTAAATACTATTTTAGAGACATTGGGTTAAGTAAAATGTATTATTAAAATAAACTTTAAATAGTTTTTTTATTTTTAATACTATGGCAACTATGAAATTTAGAATAATTTATATGGCTCATATTTTCATTTTACTGGACAGAACTGCTACAGAAAGTTCATATTATTTTCTACTGCAATAATAAAATGGTTCCACCTCCTCTGGTCTTTCGGAATTTTCTTCCTTGTGGGGAACTTGCACACATGTGCACTAGAAGAAATTCAAACTCTAATAAACAGGTTAATGCATCTTTATCTGTGGGCTGGGACTGTTCATCTGCATTTCAGCATTTCCATGGAGATTTCGTGCAACTGCAGGCTTGTTTTAATAGCCAGTGTTCTGCATTGTCTGCAAACTGTAAAAATTAGTGGGACAAGAACATTTAAAAGGGTTCATTATTTGAGGCCGTTAAAAAGGAAGGGAGACAAAGAGGGGAGAAGGTCTCGTATTAATAACTTTCACATCAGGCCAGCTGATGTCCGACAGGATCACACAGACCCAAACTTTCCAAAGAGGGCTATCGCAGAACACTTCCCTCCTGCAGGGAGCTGGGAGCCGATCTCTCCATGAGAAAAGCAAATAACAATGTCAAAGTCTCGAAAAGAACTACTTGAAGGGTCATTCTGCTTTCACATTGGGTGAACAGCAAGTAACTGTTCCGAAAGGGCCTTCCAGGACCCAAAGGCAGGGCTTCCGATTTTTTTTTGCTTGTGCCCCAGTGGAAATCGTAAGGTTTGACTGCAGCACTTTTAGCTTAATTTCCCTAATTTTGGGAACCTAACTGCTTCGCACCAACGACCTCCTGAGTACAGATTCGGTCTGTGTGAGCGCTAACAAGGTGGAAAGAGGAACTGATTATACAAGGAAAGTAAATTTCGCTGTGGCTCAGAGCGATGGGTCAAGCATTTTACTGTGCTTTGCAAGGCTCTGCATTTAGGAAGCAGGTAAGTGTGCTTTTGAATAAAGGCTGTCTCTCTCTCTTTACTCACCGCATCTGACGTGTAAGCAAGGAAGGAAAATAAATAAATAAATAAATAAAAATCAGAAGTTACATGCTGACCGTGGCGTCCCCGGGAGAGGCCCAGCCCAGGTGGGCCGCCCGCTCTGCTGTTTCAGGGCCGCTGGGAGCAGGCTCGGGCGCGGATGGGCCGCCCAAGAGGTCGGCACCTGTCCCGCGGCGCAGGGCCCAGCAGGGGGGGCCCGCAGGACGCTGGCGTGGGGCCCTCGCGGCGGCCGGACAAGGTGACCTCATCCACGAGCTCCGCGCGGCCGGTCCCTCAGGGCCGTCGCTCCAGGAGGAACGTCCTTGACTTGGATTCGCCCCCATCTCCTCCACGCTGAAGGCTGGCACCTGGTGGACTGAGAGCTCCCGCCTGGTAATTACAGTCAGCGTGGAAGAGCTCTGCCCTGAGGTGGTAACTGTGAGTGCAGACAGAAGCGCTTCCGTCCCCGCGAGCTGAGGACCGACCTAGAGGAAAATGTCCCCATCTCAGCCCAGGGTGACCCGGGACGAGGCGGGAGCAACGGGCGGCGGCTTCACTTTGACCACAGCGCGGGTGGGCGATGAGCGGATGTGTTATGGGCTGGGGAGGGTTCGAGGGGGGGGGTGGCCCGGTTCTCGGGGTCCTGAACAAAGAATTGAGTAGGGCCCTGAAGGGGAAACAGGAGCAACATTTGTTTTAGAGAGTGAGGGGTGTGAGCAAGAGAGGTGAGAGCCGCTCTTGGGGCGGATGGGTCAGGGAGAAGAGCACAGAGTCCCCGGAAGTCAGTCGCGGAGTCTCCTAGGCCCTGGCATGTGGGCGGGTCTATGGCGGGGGACGGACAGGGTCCTAGCCCAATGGGGCCCTGACTCCGCCCACCTACCGGAAGTGTCATGGCGCCCAAAGCCCATTGGAGCAGTCAAACGCCCCAGGAAAATGACGTTGGATGCACGCCAAGGTCATGTACTTTGGGGTTTGTGCATTCCTTGGGGTCTTGAGGAGGACGGAGTCACCTTCATTCATTGGTTTTCTGGTATTGTGACATAGCTGTCCTTGCTGTGTCTGGTTTCTCGATCCTTTGTCCCACAGCTTCCTGCTGTTTACTTGTCCTTGCTCTACCTTCTACCTCAGATCTGTTATTCTTGTTCATCCAAAACTCAGACATTTTCAAGCACACCATTCTACCAGGTCGGAAGTACCTTGCTAATGGTAAGCCCTTGGATTATCAGCAAAGGTATTGGACTTATATTCTTTTGGAGTATTTACCTTGACATTTAAAAAATTATAGGCTCATGTGGTTCCCATCACTAGATTGTGAATTCCTCCTGCTATGGTTTAGCTCTAGAATGTGCCCCACAACGTCCCTCATGTGTTCAGAGGTGGGGCTTTTGGAAAGTGATGAGATCACAAGGGAACTGTACGCATCAGTGGATTCATCTACTGAAGAGTTCAGAGCTGCAGGGCTTCTGCCCAGGCCAGCGACAGGCCTTGGGGCCCTCCCTGGGGTGCTGGTGGTACAGGCAGGCAGGCTGCGAGGGCATGGGTTGGGGCTTCCACCCAGATTCAGAAGGCCAGGAGGCCAGGCAGCATGTGCCTGAGAGGGCAGTGGGTGAACCCTGGAAGTTGGGGCCCCAGGATCAGGGAAGGTCTGCTGAAGGAAGCTGTGGGTGGTGAGCAGAGCCACCTGAGAGACAGACGGGACTGCTGCAGTGGGCAGTGACATGGGGGCAGAGCTGCCCAAGTCCTTGGAGTTCACATCTCAGCACAGTTTGCCCTGGCTGCTGGACATGGAGCTACAGAATTTCATGGTTGCCCTGCTGGATTTTGGTCCCATTCCCTTTGATTTCCCTATTTCTCCCTTTTCGAATGAGAATGTTTACCCTGTGCCATTGTATAGTGGCAGTTTTTAATGTTCTGTTTGATTTTCACAGAGGTACACAGCTAAGAGTGTGCCTAGGTCTCAGAGGAGACTTTGGACTTTTCAGCAATGCTGGAACTGTTACAACTTTGGCAACTCAGAGAGGGACCTAATGTATTTTGGATAAAGAGATGGACATGTGTTTTTAAGGGGCCAGGGGTGGAATCATATGGTTTAGGTCAAGAACGTCCCCCCAAAGGCTCATGTGGGGCCAGGGATTTAGCTCAGTGGTTTTGCCACCTGCCGCGCAAGCGCAAGGACCCGAGTTCGATCCCTGGTACCAAAAAACAAGCAAACAAAAGCTCATGTGTTTAGAGGGAGGGTTTTTGCAGAAGGTATGAAAACTGAATTTATTGAAATCATTGCAAAAACTTTTCTAAGTCTAGTTTTTGGGTCATAGGGTGCTGTAATCATTGGTGGGTTAATCCTCTGCTGAGTGCAGAGCTGACTGTGCCACTAGAAGCCAGGTCTGGTTGGAAGAGGTGGTCACTGGGGGCATGGCCTGGCAGGGTGTGTCTTCCTCCTGGGCTCCTCCCTTCTCTCTCTACTTCCTGGCCACCAGGACATAAGTAGATTTTCTCTGCTAGACCTTTCCACCATGTCCTTCCTGCCTTGGAACCAGCTGACCATGAGCTGAAAACCTGAGCCAAAATAAACCTCTCCTCCTTTAAGTTGTGGGCATTGGACATTTTGTCCCAGTGATGAGAATGTGACTATGACAGCTCTTTATGTTTTGTAGTGCCTATCATCACTAATCCTCACCGGGCATGCTGTCTGTCTTACAGGACCATGTACATGGCCATGTAGCATGTGCAGTTATGTGACAGCATAGCAATGCACAAGAACAGAGACACAGCATTGCAGCGACATGGGCAACCTGGAAGTAAACCCACAGACTTAAACTCAACTGATGTGTGTCAAAGACGCTGAGAATACACACGGAGGAAAGGACAGCTTCTTCAGTAAATGGCTCTGGGCAAACTAAACATCCATGTGCGAAAGAATGAAACTCGGCCTGCATCCTTCCCCAGTTACAAGTCAACTCAAGTGGATTAAAGATTTAAATATAAGGCCAGAAACCATGGAACTGCTAGGGGGAATCAGGGGAAATCCTTCACGATATTTGTCATCAAAAGATGCTTTTGAGTTAAATTTCAAAAGTACAATCAACGAAAGCCAAGTGAGGCAAGTGCGGTTATATTACATGAAGAGGCTTCACAGCAGAGAAAACAGTGACCAGCGAAGGGCATCTACAGCACAGGACGAAGTATTCGCAAACCATCTGTCTCACAGGGGATTGATACCCAGAACGTATAAGCAATGCGAACAACCCAACAACAAAAGCACCCAAGTAATCTGATTAAGAAACAGGCAAATGACCCAAATAGACATTTCTCAAAAGGCTCACAATGGCCAGCAAGTATACAAGAACTGCTCGACATCACTAAGCACCAGGGAAATGCAATTCCAAACCACAATAAGGTATCATCTCACCCCAGTGAAAATGGCTCTTATTAAAGAGAAAAAAAATTAATGCTGGCAAGGATGTCAAGAAAGGGGAACTTTTGGACACTGTTGGTGGGAATGTGAATTTGTAGAGCCATGTGGAAAATATGGAGGTTCCTGAAAAAGGCTAACACCAGAAATGTCAGACCTGGCAACCCTATTACTTGATATATACCCAAGGAAAGAGAATCAGTATGTCAAAATATAGCTGCACTCCCATGTTAATTGCAGCTATTGCTACAGTCAAGATACCAAGTCAGTGTGTCTATTGATGCATAAATGAGTTAAAATGTATTATGGAATATTATTCAGCTATTAAAAAGATGAAATCCTGCCCTTTGTTGCATGGATGAAACTGGAGGACATTTTGTTCAGAGAGCTAGGCACAGAAAGACACATAAAGGAATGGGCCAAGGATTTAGCTCAGTAGTTCTGCCGCCTGCCTCCCAAGTGCAAGGTCCTGAGTTTGATCCCTGGTACCAAAAAAACAAAAAAAACCCTTCTTGGGCCAGGGATGTAGCTCAGTGGTTTCGCTGCCTGCTGCGCAAGTGCAAGGACCCAAGTTCAATCTCCGGTACCAAAAAAAAAAAGATAACTAAATACTGCACATTCTCATTTGTGGAAGCTACAGAGTTGATTTCATAGAAGCAGAGAGTAGATTAGTGGTTACCAGAGGCTGGGGAGAGGCATGGGGAGGGCAGATGAGCAGATGTTGGCCAACAGGTATAAGAGTCCTGGTAGACAAGAGGGATACAATTGGTGTTCCATAGCTTTGTTATTTTTAGCTATTTATTTGATTCTATCCGATGACTGTGGAATTCTTTTCTGTTGTTAATGATGATATAGTTGTTGCTTTAAGGAAGACATTTACTGTGTATCGATATTTGATTTGTCTTTATGTCTACATTATTGTTGCCAATCTCTTTTCTACTGTTAAGGGTGGTATAGCTGGAGCTATTATTGGTTCTTATGGTGTCGATATCTGGTTTGTTTTTGATTCTCTTATTACTGCTGACTTTTTCTACGTTAATGTTGGCGTAGTTGTTGCTTTTTTTTGTTTTGTTTTGTTTTTTGGTACTGGGGATCGAACTCGGGTCCTTGCGCTTGCACAGCAGGCAGCCAAACCTCGGAGCTAAATCCCTGGCCCCCGTAGTTGTTGCTTTTAACTGGCTTTTACTGTATGCCATTTTCTGGTTTGTCCTTGCGCCATCAACATTACCATGATTTCCTTTCTTCTCTCTGAGTGGTGGGGGATCCAGCTCCCAGCAGAAGGTTGGAGCTAAGAAGACTGTCAAAAATCCCACTGTACAGACAGAAAATGGGCACAAATGCAAACAGAACCACACCCAGGGGGACAGAATCTGACTCAAGGGATCCCATAGCAGTGCAGAGCTTCTCTCACATCCAGCCTTCAGCCCACAGCACAAAAAAACAGAAACACAAGAAAGCAAGGCAAAAAGATGCTTCCCAACCCCAGCTGCCTCAAAGGTGATCTCAGCAACCCTGAAGTAGAAGCAGCGACAGGCAAAGGAAGACAGAAACCCAAATGATCCAAATGTTTGAAGAGATAAAAGAAGCAAGATATAAACAGACGTTTTCAAGCGTAAGATGCCTGTGCCTGAGAAGCATATACATACAGTGTTTAATGGGCTCAAAGAGGATCAAATTAAACATGTAAAGGATTTTACCAATAAAATGCTTCATGAGCTTAAAAAGAAACAATCAATAAACTCACAGTTAAACAAGACAAGACAAGACGCGAATGACCACTTTGGTAAAGAATTAGAAAGTATGAAAAAGCAAACAGAAATAGATGAGATGAAAAATTCAATGGAAAGCACAGGTAGCAGATTGATGTGAGGACAGAGTGTCAGGAACAGAACAAGGTTGATGTAATACAGCATAAACTCAGTGACACCCTAAAAAGGGCAAGACAGCCAGGTGTGGTGGCACATGTCTGTAATCCCAGCACTCAGGAGGCTGAGGCAGGAGGACTGCCACAAGTTTGAGGCCAGCCTGGGCTACAGAGTGAGTTCAAGACCACCCTGAACTGCATGGCGAGACCCTGTCTCAAAATAAATAAACAAACAAAACACAAGACACCATGCAAGCTGGATCCAACAACTTCTAAATGAGGGAAAAAACCCAACCTCCTCAGAAAAGAAGAAATCAGAAGATAACTTAAAGTGTGTAAAAAATTTATTCACTGAAATCATAGCAGAAAAATTTCCAAATCTCAGGAAAGAACTTAATATTCAAGTACAAGGGCCACATAGGACCTCAAATAGCCGCAGCCAGAGCAGAACCTTCTGCCACACACCATAGTCAAAGCTCCAGAAACTCAACAGAAGGGGAGACTACGAAAGCTGCTAGAGAAGAACGGCAAGGGCCAACAGAGGAACAGTGGGTTTTCAATATGGACCCGAGAGGCCAGCAGAGCTGTGAGTAAAGTTTTGTAAGCCCTAGAAGAAGACAGGTGTCCACTGAGACTCCTGTAGCCAACACAATTTCCCTCCACAACTGCCAGAGAAGTGAAGCCTCCCCGCAACAAAGGGTCCCAAAGAAGGACCCAACCCTTCCACCAGCCTGGCAGAAAATACCTACGGGAAGCCTAGGCAGAGACAGCATGGGCGTTAGTGCCAAGGAGCCCAAAGGAGAGTATCCATCTAACCGGGAGTGGCATGAAACAAAAGGAGAAAAATCAAGGAATGAGTGCAAGAAAGATAATGCAACGACAGATTCAGTAAGCACCTACGATAGCAACTCGCCAGGTCCCGCAGGGTCCCAACTGCCCGGTCGAAAGATACAGACTGGCAGATTGAATTAAACATGAAACCTGCAGGAGATGCACCTCATCCGAAAGGAAGAACAGAGCCTGAATGTGAAAGATGGAGAATGATTCCCCACTCCACTGGAGCCCAGAAACAAGCAGGAGTAGCAATCTGATTTTCAGACACAGCCAGCTCCAAGGCCGAGCTGGTCAGAAGAGACAGAGACGGCCGCTCCCACTGGAAAAGGGCACAGCTTACCAGGAAGAGGTGACAGCTACAAACATCTGTGCTCCGAATGCGGGCATGCCAAACTTCCTGAAACAAACACCACTGGACTTAGCAGGACAGAGGGATGCCAAGACAATGATAGTGAGGGGCTTGGCACCCCACTCTCAAACTGGACAGGTCAGCTGGACAAAAATCTACAAAGAAACAGCAGGGCTAAACCACACCATTGAGCAAGGCAACTCAACAGCTATCTACGGAGTGTTTCACCCAACAACAACAGAATACACATTCTTCTCAACAGCACATGGAGTTTTTTCCAAAATAGACCATAGCTTCAGCCATAAAGTCCTTAAGAAGAATTCTTACAAAAGAAGTGAAAGAATCCCCTGTATATTATTGGATCATGACAAAATGAAGCTAGAAATCAACAGCAAAAAAAGCCATAGAAACCATGCAAACACTTGGAGATTAAATAACATGTTATTCCATAATCATTGGGTCACAGAAGAAATTAGGGAAGAAATCAAAAGTTCCTGGAACCAAATGACAGTGGAAACACAATATGCCAAAAAAATCTACAGACTCAATGAAAGCAGTTCTAAAAGAGGAGTTTTGGGCTGTGAATGCCCACATTTAAAAAATAGGGCAATCTCAAATAAATGACCTAATGATGCATCTCAGGATATTAGGAAGACAAGAACAATGCAAATCTGAAATTAATAGAAGGAAAAAAATTATAAAGATCAGAAGCTGAGTGTGGTGGTACATGCCTGTACTGTAATTCCAGCACCCGAGAGGCTGAGGCAGGAGGATCATTGTGAGCTCGAGGCCAGCCTAAACTACACAGCGAGAACCTGTCCAAAAAAAAAAAATCAGAGCAGAAGTTAATGAAACTGAGGCAAAAAACCCCCCAAACCAATGCAAAGGATCAGCGAATCAGAGTTGGCTCTTTGAAAGGACCTGAAGAGGATCTGCGGAGGGGGAGAGAGGAAGGAGGGGAGGGAGCGGAAGTAAAAAGGGTCAGGGTGCGAGGTGGCTTGTACAGTTTCCTCAGATGGAAGCTTCCAAGGGTATTGCAAACACACGCCTACTAGTCGAGACTCACATGCTGCACTAACGTGGGCCTCCCTGTTCGCTCATGTCCTCGGTGGCCCCTGGTCAGCGCTGAGCTCGTTGCTGTCTGAACAGATTGGTCCCAGCCTGGCCCCTCAGAGCGGAATCCAGCACCCGACCCAGGCTAACTTCCCCTCCCCGAGACCGGAACTCCTCCCCGGCCTTGGTGCCTGACAGAGGGCTCCCGCCAGCCTGCACACAGCAGCCCGGCCCTGCCACACCCGGAGGCGCCTTTCATACAGACGCCATCCTCAAGGGCTGTCCAACATGGCGCCTCCCCTCGACGAAGCGTGCTGCCAGCACCGTAAATCAACAGGACATTTCCAGAAAGTCAACCTCTGGGTTTTACCATTTTGAATTACGAGTTAGGCGCTCACACTCTTAAACCTATGAGAGAAATGCAATAAATCAAGATCACTTCATCAACTATTTCCTTTACCTAAGTAATGCACAATCCATTGAATCACTGGGGGTTGCAAAATGGTGACTTTTATTTCTGTTCTTCCTTCTGAGCTTGCTGTTTCTGTAAAGGCAAGCTTTCCTTCACTGACTGATTATCCAGAGGTACAGTTTGTATGGAAAGGGCAAGGTTAATTCTTGTTGTTGTTTCAAAAGAATGAGTTGGGGGCCCAGGGATTTAGCTCAGTGGTTCCACCACCTGCCTCGAAAGTGCAAGGTCCTGAGTTCGATTCCTGGTACCAAAAAAAAAAAAAAA